TAGTGGAATTAGTCGGCCGCTTATGACGCCTAGTTGCCCGCCCAGAGCGCCTAATCCACCACCTAGGTCGTCTAAATTTGTCAAACATTACTTTACTTTATAATTTTAATTTTCTAAGCGATATAAGTTATAACTTTAGCCCTGGATATAAAGAAATGAAGTTGTAAATTAAGATAAAGACTATATATGTTTGTATATATACCTAAATATTAGTATTATTTATATTTATAACATAATGATGTTAAGTGATCAGTTATCATATACTACGTATAATTAAATGTGATAATTTCGTCATTCATGTTTATTAATGTATGTGTATATATATATATGTATTTTATACACACAAGAATACAATATTACTTATCATGTTTATGCAAAAATATAGATAAAAATGCAATTTTTGTGTCTCTTATTAGTCCCTGCCTAGGCGCTAGGTGCTGGGCTGGCGCCCGACTAGCGCCTAGTGCCTTTTAGAACATTGGGAGTAATAGATGTGTTTCGAAAAAGCTGGTATAAAGGAGGAAGGTTGAGTTGGGGAGTTTGAGTATTTTGGGGAAAGATAGGTGGGCAAAAATTTTGGAACCCGGGAGGATAATTTCATGGTGAAACTAACAGTGTGGATTGGGGTAAGGTGTTAACGTAGAAATCGGGCTGTGTGGTGGTGATCGGGACACCAGACGTCCCAGCGGTTCCGGATGATGATGGCTCCATGTCTACTCTTTGTTCTCGCTGAGCCTTTTGGTTTTGTCTGGCGAGCTTCTGTATCTCGAGATTAAGAGGGACAAGTGGTTCTCCCCTCTTCGAACGGGTATGCATAAACAGACCTAACTAGCTTGTACGGTTAGAAGAGAATAATCCTACGAAAAAACTAAAAACTAGTCGCTGAAATTAATTAACCCTTAAAATCGACACCGTCGTCGGTAACGACGCCAAAAATTGATGTGAGTTTTCTCGCACTAAAATCATGCAGCAGTAAAAGGCTAAAGTACGAGTATCGTCACCATAAGGATGGAAAAAGGCAATCAATAATTAAATAAACTCAGTGATTAAAAAATAAATAAATAAAATGCGATGTGCGAGATTTGGATTTTTGGAATTAACTACTATGAATAAACAACTAATTTAAAATGTTCTTTCTAATTAATGACGAAAGGGAACAGGGATTGATTCTGGGGTAATTAGATTTCGGGGCTGATCAAGCAGCGCTGTTCAATACTAAGTTTTTACCGCTTTTGCGGCGTAGAGATACAATAATTCAAGGAACCAGGCTGATCTTTCATGCAACAAGTTCCTAAATTATTGACAAAACGAGCGAACGTACAACTCCCTAACCATGACTAATCTCTTAGCGAACGATCAAGTGTGTGTGAAAGTGTCCTATAATAAGTTAGATCTCTCTTAATTTATTCTATGTGCAACTAGTTACTCCACCCGTGCGTTGCACGGGAGTGAAGTACCTACATAAAAATTTAGAAGCAAATATATAAAAAAACTACAGAAAACTAAATAATGGCTCGATTTATTTAAAAGATTGAATAAATTCCTAAATGAGTATGTTATTGTATATAATATCATACGAAAGAACCATAAAAAACTTAAGAAATAAATTGTAAAAGTTTAATGTATGTCCATGAGATTTTCAACGGAAATTACACATTACTATAAAATTTTATATATGCACTATACAGCATGCAATACAGACTTAGTTGATCGTTCATCGTCATCACATATCACAAACTTTAATCTAAATAGAGTTGCTACTCTCGATACAAATATGTTCAACTGCCCATACAAAAAAAATTGACCCATAAAGTATGATGCTAAACTTTTTCAGTGATTGGCGAGACTCTTATTAATGTTCATTGCATAACGAATGGAAGCTCTCTTCGCTGAACAGAGAATAAAAGTCTAACGTCGGATGGTGTTAAATTAAGTCTATGAATAAGAAACTTTTTACTGACAGTTCTTCATGCATCATTTGAGCCTTGATAATATGCGCCCAAGTTTATATTAGTCACCAGGTGTGGTGTGGCACTGAACAATTCAAAGGAATCTCCACTTTCAGTTTTAGCTCATGACTCGACAAACCGAAACATTTAACATTATTAAGATAACCAGGAGAATGTATCTTGTGTAAAATATAACTACTTAAGCTAGATGATGCCAAATATGAGCATATGAGTACTCAACTCCCAATCTATTTGATGCGAGATATAATCATTAACATAATCAAGCTCATTATATAGGGTTGTCATTGTCGGTCAATTTCTTTGTTACAATCGAGTTTATTATTATTTTTGCTATATTATTTTAATCAATGTACTTTATTTATTTTAAGGAAGTAGTGCAGCTATAATTTCTATGCGTTGGGACTTTTGGCCAAGTCGGACTTTTAGCCAAGTCAGGCCAAACTTTTAGCTAAGCAGGTGAGACATGTTTTAATATGTTTAAACCTGAGCTTGACCGGTCCCTTTTTGGCCTAAACTTGACCTGTTTAATAGTCTAACATGCGGTGAAACCGAAAATCAACATTTATTGAATGCGAGAATCAAATACTCCTAACTTAAATGAACATAGAAAATGGAACTCGTTTAATCTTTAATCTTTAATGGACTTAAACCCTAAATATATGCTCCTGAAGTAGGTCTAAATCATATCCTTGTATATATTCTCTAATTATATACACATCAACATTGATGTTATATTCTTCTGAAATATTGTAGGTTACATATATTGAACTTATATGATTATATCCTTGTAACTTAAGATTTCAAAGTGAAAATGAAATATTGAAAAGTTATAAAATCATTCTCATGGCTGAAGTTACAATAAAAAAACTGCCCAAAAGCATGATCTATAGTCCGGTTGCCGCAGGAAAATGTCATAGAGCGGCGCATCGGCCGTGTAGGAATAACTCTAAAATCTGATCTAAACTAATAAAAATCCATCCAAAAATCTGCTCTCAAGTTGTAGCTTTTTTCTAACAAATGCTCTCATTTGAATATTCCTAACACATGAGTTGCAACCCTAAAATTACAACATAAAAATGCCACCAAGAGAAATCAGCCAAATATCACCTAAATGAAGCTCCGTAAGAGCCACAACAGTCACAACATTATCCTTAATCTATCCCGCCACACATCAAAGTTGGTGAAAGTACTTCTCTCCCTTCCAGCACCAGAGTATGCAAACGAAAAAGTGCACAAAACATCAAACTGAAGAAAGGAAGATATCAATTAAATTATTCAAACACAAATTAAATAAAGATCATTCAATTAAACCATCAAGAAATAACTATGGATCATGATTAACTCATTCTTCAATCCCAAATGCTTAATTAAAATTACCCACAATTCATAATTGAATTAATTACAGAATTGAGAAGGAAAGAATTAATTGTTGTTAATTAAAAAGATTGAACTTACAAAGAATCCCAAAATCTTGATAATTCAATGCTTGAAAAGCTGTCAAAAATAGTTTTAGGGTTTATCTCTCTAAGCTCATGGTCAAAGCAGACAAAAATGGGCTGAATTTATAGAAATCACCAAAAAGTTGGCGAAATTCGGTCCGCGGGGTCATCTGCATGGCATGCGGATGACAGCGCGGACCTCCAGAAAAAATCTGTCAAAAAATGCAAGCCGGTCCGCGCTTACACTCTTGCAAATGTATGACCATGCGGACACTCCTGCAACTATGTTCAGAGCCGCTCGCGGGGCATGCAATTTAGATTTTCGGATTTCATGCTCTCTGAATTGTCCGTGCGGTGTGCGGCCTAGGTGCGCGAGGAGCGCGGACCTCTTTGGAACCATTTTTTTGCTCTTTTGTTCCTCGTTTGATCTCGATCAATGCCATCTTTATTCTTTGACTTCTTTTGACTCAGAATTTCTGCTTAATCGTCCTGTGGACCTCCAATGCTTCTTGTCATCTGTCGAAAGCGTCCAAAATCTTCTCAATATAGTCTCCAATGCCGATGTCGGGTTCAAATTCTTGACTTTCGCTTCTAAAAACAACAAACACATACCAAGCCTGGTAAACCGTGACTTGAGCTAATTAAACGCTTTGTGACTTATTTAGATTAGGAAAAGTGGCAAAATCAATCCCAACACGCATCAAATGCGTGTTTAAATACGACATTATCAGGCATCCATTGGAAATCTCCACAATCAATTTACCAAACTTGATTGGTGGTTTGAAGACCATAATCGGAAGCTAAATCAACGAATGGACAATATTGAACTAAATACCAAGCCCGCCATTCATAAATTGGAAATTCAAATTGGCCAACATGCTCAAGAGAGGACTACTAGGGAGCATGATAGATTTCCCGCTACAATAGAAGTCAACCCAAGGGAGAATGTTATGGCTATCACTTTGAGAAGTGGTAAAAATTGGAGGGTCCTAAAAACAAGAAGAGCCCATAGAGAAACAAGGAGATGAATAGCTAGAGCATGTCTCACCACCACCATCCATGGAGGCTAATGTTCCCACGATTCCTTATCCCTAGAGGTTGAAGGAGAGAGATGATTGCAAGCAATACAAAAAGTTCCTAGACATCTTCACCAAGTTGAGCATCAATATTCCCTTAGCTTTGCCGAGGCTATTGTGAAGATCCCCTCTTATGCAATATTTCTAAAAAATATTCTTAGCAACACGAAAATTTATGATGTTTTGGTTATATTGGCTGATTCAGCTGAAATTTATGATGTTTTGACTGAATTGCATGGATTGGCTGATTCTGTTGATTTGTGGGGAAAAAATTAATTTATGATTCTTTTTAATAAAA